CGCTCTGGAATTTCTCAAACTCCCTGACCGGTCAGTGAGTTTGCAAACTCCCTAGTGAATTTGTTAACTCCCTAGTGAGTTTGCAAACTCACTGATGGGTCAGGGAGTTTGCAAACTCCCTAGGGAGTTTGCAAACTCACGGATTTCTCAAACTCCCTGTAACAATAATATTATCATCATTTCCTCGGAATCCAGTCCCCAGAGTCTGCACAGACCGCGCCACAATGGAGCGAAATGAACGAAGAAAATGACATCCGTCTTTTCACTCTTTATTTATTGAGCCCGTCAAACATGTCCATTTGAGATGGGACCCTCGCAAATTTATTTACATGCCACGCAATACAGCTAGTAGTTACATGCTACACGTCAAGCCTACATTTTCCCATCCTCAGTACCAATCCGTCCAACCTATTCTCATAATTTGTTCACACTTCCTGTCGCGGCCAGTCTACGTATGCTCCAGCGGAGTACCTGGATAGACCACCAGCTCACAGTACGGGCTCAGCTTCGGCAGCGCACCGGTCGGCGTTTGAACTTCAGTCAACCTGACACCTCATCCTCGTAATTTAATCGCATCCCGCGCGGCAACGAAATGGCACAAATAGGGGCTACAACAGAATACAATAAACAAAATAAAGGCCTGATCCAACTAAGGAGACCTGAGAAAATGTACACTACGCTCCTCAGGAGCCACAAAAGAAAGCAAAATCATTCCAAGGCCAACAAAGACAAAGGCTTTTACATACAAACTATTCGAGCTGCGACGACGACACACTGCTATTTCGCGAACAATACGCTTAGCTCAAACTATTTGCTTCTCTTGCAACAACCGAAGTGACGCAAGTGCAAGTTTGACAAGCACACGATGCTGCGTGGTACAACGTTTGCACAATGTGCAAAGCCGCCTCCCGTATGTGACACGTACGCATATCCAATACCATCGCACACCATCCTATAACTCGAGCGTTCTTCAGGAAACCTCTCAGAGTATGCCTACATCGCACTTATCAACTTCACACCATCAACAAACCACCGTCCATAGGAAGTCATCACTACTAAAGCCGTCCTCATGACGTCATTACCCTGTTTCTGGCCTAAATGACGTCATCATCAGAGCTGTCCGGCGTCACCCGACCCGACCTCGCGCCGCGCCTACCGCGCCGCGCCGGAGCTGCCGGGACGACATGGTACCGGCTCTGGTGGATGCGCAGGTTGGTTTTGTTGACGTACTTTCTCTCGCAGACGAAACAGGTCGTTTCGCCGCGGTGCCAGGACAGATGTTCGCCGAGTCGCTGACGGTTTGCGAACGTGCGACCACAGCCCGCTTCATGGCAGCGAAATCCTGGAATAGACACGGGGTGTCGGGTGTCAGTCGGGCCGGCGGTCGCGCCGGTATTCTAGAGCAGTACTGTGTGGCTGTGTGCTGAGAGCTGTCACACTATAGGGTACACAGTCTACACACTACCAGTGAGCACAGCACTGTGCCATGGAAGCGAGGTAACCAAGGTGTCTTCAAAACGCGGGGTATAGGATAAAAGGGATAAATACAATGCTCCTTCAGCTCAAAGCTGCAATATGCAGTTTTCAGACTTGTACTGTGCCTACAATCGCATAATATCTTTTAAAGGAAATCGTAGATAACTTTTAACATGGGGGTTTGAACTGGAATAGCAGTTTTGCAGCTTGAGCTGGGACTAGCACAAATCAAGGAGTTGTCACGCCCCAGCAATCACCCTAGGCAAAGCTATTTCATTTCTCGTTCCGAAAAGAGTGCTTTGTAGAGGAATGTGTCCTTTGTACATTGAAGAATGCAGCCACGTCATCATCAGCCAATCAGCATCTAGCTGGTTTGAACTACGCAACATGATTGGCCAACGCGTAATAAGCTTCCCCGGTAAACATTATTTTATATAGAATATACCAGAATATACTATGAAATTGAAAGTGGTATATTCCCTTTAACCCTCGCCGGCACAGGGGGGGTTGATGCAACCCACCTAAGGTTTTTCGCGAATAACTCGCGTAAAAAGCGGCCGATCGCGACGAAACTTTCAGTACCCTCGCATTGATCAATTTTACACCTACCCTGAAAATTTCATGATCCTGACCCCAATGACCTTTGACCTGTGACCTCTTTTCCGTGACCATGTTTGCCCGAAATCGCGATTCGGCGTATGTCGGCTCGCATTAGCCGCGCGTTTGCAAGCTTTTCATGGTTTCAAACGTTCAAACATGTGATTTGATGTTGCTCCCATACATTAGGGTGGGTGTCAAGGTCACCTGAAGGTCAGGTCAGGTCATTGACCTTTGGTGACCTCGGGTGACCTCGGTTCACTTCTTCGAGTTTTACATGTTTCTAGGCTAGTTTTTGGAGCTGAATTCGAATTTAGCAACCATTTGAACATTTACGAAGTAGTTTTGGTGCCTCCGTAACATGTTACGAAGCTGTCAGAGGCGGTTGGCACGTATTACGAATGCCCGTCACAGTCCCTACCGGTTGCCCTGACCTGACCTGACCCGACCTGGTCTAAATGCTTAAATACATCATGTCTGATCAAAACTAACACGATATTCGTGATCAGCACCCCGGAAAACCACATAGCAGCCACACTTTACGACTTTCTAACAGGTCCCGATTTTCCCGGTTTTCGGGTCATTGACCTGACCTGGAAGGTCACCCGATGACCTGGGACCTTAAGATTGGGTATCATCGGCTTCCTCTCGTGACGGGCAACACGCTCGTTTTTTTCCGCGAAGCTCTAGCTCGATCAGGGGCCAAACGCGAGGGGGGTCGTACCAACGAAGGATATAATATTTCTTGTGCCGTCGAAGGACGCAAAATGGCCTGTGCCGGCGAGGGTTAAAGGTGCTGCCCGATATAAAATGCATTATCACAAGCACGAAATATTTTTTGTAGTTCATTGTCTCACATACTTGCAGTGTAAATAAATGATAAGCGGATGCTCAACTGATTGTAGAAAAAGTGGTTAAAAACACACACACACAAGCTCCTGAAATGCTTCAATTCATCCCCACTGCTCACGAAAAAAGCACTTCGTCGGAAAAAAACGCTAACTATAACGCTAACAACTATTAAAGGGACCCTCCCACCTTAACATTAGATTTGAGTTGAGATAGCCAAAATGGGGTCCCTGGCTCACAATTACCGGTTTCGGCACTCACAACATCGAGAAATGCCTTAAATCGGAAATATTGAATTTCAAAATTGCAGCATTTTGATTCAGAGGGGCTAATGCTTAGGAATACCCCTCTGAATGTGTGACGTCAGCGCAGATATCTAACGATTTTTAAATGTTTGACTAAAACGTTTTGTAGCACGTGGTGGTATATGCTATTTGCGCGCAACATTTGACGCAAACGCCGCACTTCTAAAATAAAGTCGCTAGAAACAGCGGAGATCCCAAAAAAGTAAACAAAAGTAAAAGTCTAATATCTTGAAAACCGGTGAATATTTTTGGGTGAAATTTGGTAGATATTCGTTTTCGCTCTTTCTGAACCGAGCGACATCACTTTCATGCCAATTCATAAACTTTTTTGAAGGTGGGAGGGTCCCTTTAAGTACAAAACACGCACACAACTAAGGACGTTTATTTCTGTTCTCAAACACAAAATAGTATGCTGAAACCGATGTTAGCGGAGGTTAAATTAAAGAAGACATCTTTCGTCTAAACAACACCGAGATGGCACGCTCGAGTAGCCACAAATCGTCAACTCATCATCTTCCAGAGTCCCCATACCAACTTTTTCATGTAACAAACCTCACAGGAAGCACATCATCCCTATCCGTACGCGTATATCCGTACATCCTCGCATCCGATCACTACCCACTATGACGTCATCACCCTATTTCATGACGTCCATGAGCCTTCCATGACGTCATCACTGCGGCTGCCCGCCGTGACCTGAGGAGTCGGGCCAGCCGCCGCGCCCGCCGCTGCCCTCTCCCGCGCTATCCTGTAAAAAAACAGCTAGGTGCTGCGGGGTCTTTTGGCGCACGGTCGCGCTGTGGAGGCCGTGCAGGGTGCTCTGGTGGATGCGCAGGTTGGATTTGGAGGAGAAGCGCCGGCCGCATAGACTGCAGACCGTCTCGCCGCGGTGCCAGGCCATGTGCTCGCTGTACCGCTTCCTGTTTGGGATGGAGCGTCCGCAGCCGGCCACGGGACAGATGGACGGCAGGCCTGAAACGGCGGGCGCCAGGGTCAGTCACGGTCAGCGACCGAAACGACAGACACCAGTGTCAGGCGCCAGTCAGTCACGGTCAGCGACCGAAACCGCAGGCACCAGTGTCAGGCGCCAGTCAGTCAGTCCGTGACCGAAACGGCAGGCACCATGGTGTCCGTCTCACATGCAGCGACCGGCAGGAGGCGGTTATAGATAGGCGCGAGTCGGCGATTAGGTGACGGCTTTTCGGGTTATCGGGCACCAAAACTGCATCGGGGTTAAGTCAGGTTTTTAATACTTCCCGACCGTTAGGTAACGATGATATCATATTAATTCTCTTAGCCTTCTCGTTTAAAATCCGCTTTGAATAGGGTGTGTAATTGAAATAACTATTTACACATTAGTTTCATGCTACGTCCAAGGGAAGTAACTACGATGTATTAGTCTGCAAGTGGATTATGGACAAATAATTAGCTGCGCAGTCGTCAGCTTCCGTCCCAAGACATCCTTCGTCGCTTCGTATTTATTCGAAATCTAAGCTATCCTTCGCTACCTTTTTCGGCATCCAAACTCGTAAAACTCCGAGATGTTTGAGTAATGTTTATTGACGATTCCAGTCGTAGTATAAATGCAGCAGTTTACTTACACGCAACGTAAAATGGCAAAGCACATACGCTTGAAGTGATATAACTGAAATATAACACTTCTTTTCTGATTGGACAACAAATAAACGGAAAGCACCTATACAATGCAATTGAATAAACAACAACGACATGCGAAAAGCATCTGAGCCATAGCGTTTCAGTTCGCGACAGCGGTTGATTAGTGCACAAGTCTCGACACCTTATCCTGTGGTTTTAATCTCTCTTTGCTGCACCGAGCGACGATAAATGAACGGTGGCCAATTTGAGAATCCATGGGGTAAGGTGACTGAACAACAGCATGAACAATAAAAACCGCAAAATAGGTACCATAGCTGGATTGATTCTTACCTAAGCCACCGCTATCAGCGGGTCATTCTGGATGGCAAGCACTCGGACTGGATCCCAGTGCAATCTGGAGTTCCGGAAGGCAGCATTCTCGGTCCGATTCTCTTCACATGCTATGTAGCTGACCTTCCGTCTCAACTTCAGACCAGCTCACTGTCATATGCTGATGATGTCAAAATTTTCCACAGAATTCAATGTCCAGCGGACGTCAACTCTCTTCAGGCTGATCTAAGCCGTCTTAGTGACTGGTCAAAAACATGGCATCTTAGGCTCAATCCGGCTAAATGGAAGACCATCACCTTTACTTTACGTACATCTCCCATCGCATCATCATACTTTTTAGATGGTCACGAACTCGAGCGGTGTACGGAGATCAGAGATCTGGGTGTGATCCTGGACTCCAGGCTAACATTTGGCGCGCATGTTGACGCCTGTGTGAGCAAGGCCAACCGCATGCTAGGTCTACTTATGCGCAGCATGCAGGTCTCACACCGTACCCGGCTGCCGTACTTCGATCACCGGGCAGTCATGGCGGCGTACAATGCCCATGTCAGATCGGTTGTGGAATACGCGAGTGTCGTCTGGAGTGGCGCAGCACCTACTCACCTTGCGAGATTGGAGAGACTGCAACACCGTTACCTGATGTGGTTAGGCGCCAAGACACATAGCCGGTGCTCGATGGACTATGAGTCTCTCCTCCAACATTTTCACTGTATGTCCATCAAAGCTAGACTTGTTCAGACCGACTTGAAGTTCATACGCTCTGTGTTTGCCGGCCGACTGGACTGTGGGCTACTTGTGACTATGTTTTCGCTGCGTGTTCCTGGCCGGCGCTCTAGGCAGACGGGCTTGTTCAACGTACCTTTTGGACGGGTTGATACGGTGAAGAACGGCCTCGGCGTACGAGTCCCGAAACTAGTGAATGAGTTCCTGAACAAATATCCAGACGAGGATTTCTTTCAGCCTAGTCTCCACTGCACCGCGCGCATCCGTGCCTACGCACGAGGCCTTGGTACTTGTATGACGTAGGCTGCTATTGTTTGCATTACTTTTATCTTTTGCATTTTTTACAGATCATGTGTCATTTTATTGTTCCTTTTTTTTATTGTATCTCAGTGTTTTGGCCTTTTGCCACTTTTATACGAGCTATTGCTGTCTTAAAGTGTCCCGCGGCTTTTTGTCTGTGGTGGGTATAGGCATATGCATGTGCGTAGGCAGGTGTGATGAAATAGTGTGTGTCTTGTGTGTGTGCGTGTGTGTGTGTGCGTGTTTATATTTTACTTTGACCTCAGCCGTCATTGGGTTTTGCCTGTGGCTGACAATGCCTAATAAACAATAAACAATAAACCATGGAAGGGCAACAATTAAGCACCTCCTTTCTGTATCTCTATATCTAAATTACAGAACCAGACGAATTGTTGAAGGAACCACAGCGCATCAAAACGGAAAAAGAACCAAGAGAGTCAAAACAGAGCGAAAAGGAATAAGAACGAGAAAAAGAAAGTAGTTCGTCTTGGCACACACATACACCAGCTGCTCCTGGTATGTACCCGTCTCTGTCCCCGCCCCAGCCTCCCCCTCCTCCTCTACTGCCGGTAGAACCGGCCGGGCGGGGGCGGGGGCGGCGGCGGCGGCGGCTGGATCACCGGCCGGCCCCTGCGGTCCACCAGTGCAGCACCGCCGTGGTGTACAATGACATGTTCGCGCAGGTTGCTCTTGGTGGTGTAGCAATTACCACAGACGGCACAGACGGTCTCGCCGCGGTGCCAGGACAGGTGCTCGCTCCGCCGGGCGCTGTTGGCCAGAAACTTGCCGCACCCGGACACTGGGCACACGGAGCCGGCACCTGTCGAAATCAGCCCGCGTTAAATCCCTGCTGGTGTTAGAAATCTACAGCTAGGGAGGTACATAAAGTAAATACTGACTAGCTTTATGGGGACTGATAGTTTGCTCCGACTATGAAACCAAGCATTATTAATTGCCAGGCCCTGCTAATTGCAGCCTATCCCTATTCTCTTGTGACTGTCGTTCATTCTTGAAGCTCAAGCAGCTTGTACCATGTGTCGAAAGCAAAGTCATCATCTTAGACCAGCACACGCTCATTAGCTGAAGTCCGTCCCATCGAAGGCATCGTCGCGAGCATCTCTATCCAGCGCCTTGCGGTATATGGTTATTTCCCCATCCATAGATGGCGCTAGTGGTCAGCGCCTGGAGTTATGCTGTGCCGCACGACCCGCGGCTCCGAACCGCATTCGGCCCGGCAAAACTACGCTTGGATTTCGTACCCAAAACAACTGAATCTCACGACGCAGCGGCAGAGAAAAGGCGCTGACAGGTTTGAACTGACTTGAAACTGACCTTAATGCACGTGTGCTTTCACTTTCCATGAAAAGAACCTTCGAGCCACTGAACAGAAAAAATAGACGTCTTCAGCCAATCCTTCACGATTATGTGCCACCAAGGTAACGACAAAACCAGGACGGTGCATTTAAATATAGAAATTTATTGCCAAATAAATCACAAAAAGCTCAAGAGTGCTGAAACACCAACCAATACCCGAAAACACACTCTGGGATTAAAAATAAAATCCAGTCGATCCCGCTCCTTACTGACTACGTAAACGTCGAACTGGGAAACGCTCGACAACTTAGATAGTAGCTTATAATGGTAAACTATGATAAGCGAAAAACTTGCAAAAACAAAACATCGACATTGAAATCGCCAGAACTTTGGTTGCACTTAGAATATCGCATTTTTACTACAGACAGGAAACAAATGTCACACCTTGTAGCTAAACTAAAGCAAAACGAATTATGTTCCGCGTCAAATAAGTACCCCTGCTAACTAAACAATAATCCCATTAAAATATGCAGAGTATACAACGTGATACGATTTTACAATAATACAAAGCGATCTACAAAATGCACCTAACTGTCATAGCCACGGCAACGCAGTTCCTTTCATAAATGAACTAAGGAATACCAAAACTCTAAACCTGCCTACTTTTTCCACAGTTTCTGGTAGCAATCGGCACACAATGACATGACCTTTCCACGCGGAATAGCATAGTGTCCAGTATCACAATATTATATTGACGCGAACCTTATCGCGAAGCAGTCATATGCGAGCACACCCCACGACCAACTTAACTATTCCAGCGACATTGAACCTCCAAACCAGCACCAATTTACCTTAGGTTTATATCACTTATTTACCAACTTTCGGTAACGGCGAAGTTTCACTTGCCAGCCTTACTAAGGCTTCAGGCATCCAGCCCCGGTTGCTTTTGAAGCACGTATATCACTTATACCCTGTGCCCCTTATCATTGGTCCCCGCGGTGGTAGGCGGGCCAGCGGCGGCCCCGGAGCGGCGGCAGCGCCAGGTGGTGCACGTTCCACGCGTGCTCGCGCAGGTAGTGTTTGTCCGAGAGGCGCCGGTGGCACACGGGGCACTGCGTGTCGCCGCGGTGCCAGGCGCGATGGTCCGACAGCCGCTTCGAGTTGCGCAGCCACTTGCCGCAGCCGGGCTCCGGGCACATCCAGCCTGAGGGCGGTGGGGAGAGTCAGTGGCGCAGTCGGCGGGGACACACAGGAGAGGACAGAGGTCAGGTCAGCTGCAGACGCTAGCGAGGATCTACTGAGGAGCGCCGTTTTGAGACTCGCATGCGAGTTTTGTTCGTTTTGTAGATATTATTTTGAGCTTATCGTAAGTAGAAAGTTTGTTAAAAATTGCATACCTTTATATCATATTTGTTGTTCCTTTACGCACCCGGTACCAAAACGACATCAGAAAAACGGCGTAAACTGTAACTGATGTGTTCAAACTAAAATGACTTTCAAAATGTATTTCCGGGATACCTAATGCATAATCCGGCTGAAATAACACAGACGCACCTTCGCCAGCACTAAACCAGGAATGCAGTGCATTATCCATGAGAAGAAGCATCTATTACGGATACACATGGTAGCATGAAAAGCTCAGCTATATGTAGAAAAGGATAGCTCAGCAAGACCAAAAACTCACTAAAAAGCTTACAATCTCTAACTAAAGGCGACTCAAACCTATGCGGGTATCCATGGCATCTTTTCATCATTCAGTACCACTCACGTAAACATTAAAAACGACTTATATTATTGGCATTGTGTGTCCCTGCGTAGAGAGCGGACACATTATCACCACGCTTTCCGCTTATAATACATCGTTTGTGCGGTTCTTCTTGGTTTCAACATCTCGTCCTACATGTATAAGTATGAGATTCTCTAATACAAACGGGAGTAGTCGAAAGTATAACTATGATCCTCTCCCAAAGCAACACACAGATCTCCTCAGAAGACCGATTAAAGGCATTCGTCATATCAGTCATATCATCCAGTCATATCAGCCATATGACAGCTCAGTTGCCGCTAGATAACCCAGTCCGCGTCACTTTCTCGCCACAAAACTATAAGAACGTAACACCAACTTCGCACTCTCGCCTCAGCTGTTGCTCACCAAACAACTTTGAATGGTTTCCTTTTGATGATGGATGCAATTCCATATTCTTCTGAACACTGTTACCTATCACTCTCCGCTGATCAAAACCACGCCTCTTCGATGAGCCCATTCCGCTACCGTTACCGCGGCCAAACGGACGACGGTGATCTAACGACGAGAACACTCGGCAATCGAGCGCCATACGTCTACCGCCCAAAGTGCGCTGGTGGGGGTGGGGCCAGGGACGGGGGCGGCGGGGGCGGGCGTCGCGTCACGAGCGGCGGCACGCAGCGGGCCGAGCGGCGGTGCTGGCGCAGCCGGCGCGTCTCGCTGAAGCAGCGCAGGCAGACGGGACAGGTGGTGTCCCCTCGGTGCCAGGCGCGGTGGTCCGACAGCCGCTGGGAGTTGGGCAACACCCGGCCGCAGTTGGGCTCGGGGCAGCGCCACCCTGTAACGGGAGGCGAGGCGAGGTGATACCGACTGCCGCCACGGCATGAGCTCGGCTCCGGGAAACGAATAGCGATGGATCATGGAGTTAAATAATAACGGCGTAGATCGTAGCTTCGCCGATTGATCGAAGGAAGATGTTTGCAAAGAATGTCAATCGTAGACATTAAATAGGGTCCCGTAGGACTATTTCCACAGGTAATCGATGTTACACATATTTCACTTTGAAAAGAATGACGAGCAACCATCGTCAACTTCAAAACTGCCCGTTCCTGATCTAGGTATGGTGAATACGGCGTTCACCGATGCCAGGTGGTGATATTACGCAATATGTCCCAAAATTTAACGTACCGTAAAGTGGGGCTATTTGAGAAAGTATTTAAAATCACAATAAAATGAAGATCGTTTGATTTTTGAGTGATATTTTGCTAAGGATGGTGAGGAATAGAACAGTAAATCGCCTGAGCAAAAATTAAGCATAAATTTCAAACGGTTTTTATTTTATAGCAATTTTAAATGCTGTCTTAAATGGCCCCACCTTACGGTAGCGTAAATGTACCTACTTACCAATAAGTATGTAGGTAACTAAATAACTCTTCGGATACTTTCTGCCGACGCCGCTCAAAAATTCGTCTGCACATAACAAACACGACATGGGAATTGGGAAGTAACTTTATTTATCTAAGAAAACTAAAAACGAGACAGGGTGATCACCAACAAAATCCTGAACAAGCATCAACATTTTACAACGACGACAACAGGACCGATTTACCTTTTACCTATCGTATATGCACTTCGAAACTCAGAATTAGAAGATAAAAGCAATGCCGGGTTACTGCTGGTGTTAGCGCGGCGTCACTCAAGGTAAAACACTATCTTATTCGAACTGTGCCGGTTGCTGAACACCTTGCTTAGACCAAGCACACGTATACGGTATAACCCATCACCAAAATCTACTCAACTTTCGGGATTAAAAACCAATTACACACTTACAGTAGGTACCTTAGTCTCAAATGAATTACAAAATGAGCTATTACGTGGCTATACAAACATCGAACTGAGAACATCTCCACCGCAAAGTCTATCTCATCAACGCATCGCAAGTATCATCCGCTCCCGCCTCTGCAGAGTCTCAGAAATGCCTTACAGCTAGCCCCTGTGTCATCACCAGCTAGTGCCATCACCAGGCACCAAAGCACCACCAGACCATCACCACTTGAAGTGAGCAGCCCTGGCCTGCGCCTGCGGCGGGGCGCAGCGCACGGTCAGGCGGTGCTCTCGTAGGCTCCCCGGGGTGCTGAGACGTTTGGTGCACACGGGGCAGACAGTGTCCCCCCGGTGCCAGGCGCGGTGGTCGGACGCCCGCTGAGGGTTGGGCAGCACCCGGCCGCAGCCGGGCTCGGGGCAACGCCACCCTGTAACGGGAGGCGAGGCGAGGTGATAGACTGGCGCTAGCTCCGCCACGGCATAGAGACGGGCTCCAGGGCCTCGTTTCATAAAGCGAGTCCGTAACTTACGCCGGTTTTTTATCTTGTTTTTTTTTTTCAAGTGCATTTGAAGAGATAAATTTATCTCCCGTTCTCACTTCTGTTCTTGCTTGCAAGATAAATAAATTCAACGATTCAAACTATCGTCATGGCCTCACATGCACTTGCAATACAAGACCAAAAACCGGCGTGAGTTACGGAGTCGCTTTATGAAACGAAGCCCAGGATGGCGATGGGGTCAAATGAGCAGAGGCGTAGAACGTAATTCGCGGATTGATCGAAGGAACATGTTTGAAAAGAATGTCACCGGTAGACATTACATAATTGTATATCTTCGGAGATTTTCTGCCAACGCCAGTTGTTCGAAAATTCGCCTGTACACAAAAAGACCGAAGTATATGAAGGGTAGTAACTATATTTATCTAAAAATTGCTAATA